AACCCGTGTCCCCTGCATCGGCAGGCGGACTCTCAACCGCTGCGCCACCAGGGAAGCCCTGTCGGAAGGATTTTTGACATTCAGTGCATTTATAGGGCTTCTCTCCAGTGTGAATTCTCTGGTGTTGGATAAGGGACAAGCGTGCACTGAATGATTTCTCACATTCACTGCATATGTAGGGTTTCTCTCCAGTGTGAACCCTCTGATGCTGAATAAACTGTGAATGCTGGCTGAAGGCCTTGCCACACTCACTGCACTCGTAAGGCTTCTCGCCGGTGTGAACCCTGAGATGCTGAATGAGGGAGGAGCGAACGTTGAAGGCCTTCCCACAGTCACTACACGTGTAAGGGCTCTCCCCAGTATGAATTCTTCGATGGCGGATGAGGTGTGTGCTCTGGCTGAAAGCTTTCCCACAGTTGCCGCACTCATAGGGCTTCTCCCCATTGTGTGTCCTCTCATGCTTAATTAGGGTGGATATCTGTCCAAAGGTTTTCCCACACTCGCTACACTCATAGGGCTTCTCTCCAGTGTGACTCCTCTGGTGCTGGATTAGGTGTGAGCCCTGACTAAAGGCCTTCCCACAGCTGTGGCACTCGTAGGGCTTCTCTCCGTTGTGCACCCTCTGATGCTGGACAAGGGAGGAGAGAACACTGAAGGCTTTGTTACACTCATTACATTCATAGGGCCTCTCGCCATTGTGTGTCCTTTGATGGTGAATGAGATTAAAACTCTGGCTGAAAGCTTTTCCACACTCATTACACTCATAGGGCTTCTCTCCAGTGTGAATTCGCTGATGCTGAATAAGGTGTCCCTTTTGACTGAAGGTTTTCCCACACTCATTACACCCATAAGGTTTCTCTCCAGTGTGAATTCTCTGATGCTGGATGAGGGACAGGTGAGCACTGAAAGACTTCCCACACTCATTGCAGATATAAGGCTTCTCTCCAGTGTGAACCTTCTTATGTTGAATAACTTGTGAGTGCTGACTGAAGGATTTTCCACATTCATTACACCTATAGGGTTTCTCTCCAGTGTGGATTCTCTGATGAACAATAAGGGTTCGGTTCAGGCTAAAGAATTTTCCACATTCGTTACACTCATAGGGCTTTTCTCCTGTGTGAGTTTTCTGATGTTGAATGAGAGACAATCGTGCGCTGAAGGCTTTGCCGCACTCAGCACAGTCATGGGGTTTCTCTCCAGAATGGGTTCTCTTATGCTGAGTGAGGTGTGACTGTCTCCGGAAGGCTTTCCCACACTCCACACACATGTACGGCTTCTCTGCACTATGCACTCTCTGATGATGGATCAGGTTAGAGCTATGACTAAAGGCTTTTCCACACTGACTGCACTCATGGGGCTTCACCCCAGTGTGAACTTTACAATGCTGAATGTACGACGGACATGTGCTAAGAGCTTTCTCACATTCGTTAGCCTCACAGGGTCTTTCTCCAGTGTAAGTGTTACAGTGCTGCATGGCGTAGGGACGGGCATGGGAAGCTCTGCCACCTTCCTCACACCTGCAGGGCTTCTCTCCACTGTGAATTCTCTGGTGCTGAATGAGAGCTCTGCTCTGACCAAAAGCTATTCCACACACCGCACACTTTTCAAAGGCTTTTTCTGGACTGTTAATCCTCTGGTTCTCACTGAAAACTGAACTCTGCCCGGGCACTTTCACAAACACATCTGCCTGACAGGTCTGTTCTCCTACACAGAAACTTTGGAGGTTCGTGAGGTCCTTACTCGTTTGGAAGTTTTCTACCCATGACACACTCTGGTGGAGACTTTTCCCTGAAGACAGCCTGCAGTTTCTGACAGAACTTGCGTCTGCAGTGCAGTTTACCTCAGCTGCACTGAATTTCGGACCTCTTTTCCCCAAGGGGGTTTTCACATGTGTCACTGTCACTGGCCTGAAATGACTCTTCTGGGGGAAATCCTTCTTAAGTCCCTCCACTGCATATTTCCCCCAGCAATTCTTTAGCTTTCCCTCAGTTTTAGTCATCTCTTCAAAATCAGATTCCTTGGAAATATTCCTTACATGCTCTTCTAATTTTGTTCTCTGGGATTCCATTTCTTCAGAAATTTCCTGCTTTGGAGTCAAGTCTTTTTTTTCTGTCCTAGAGACATAAAAAAAAAAAAAAAAAAAAAAAAGAGTTACTCATGTTTTACTATGGGAAATACTTAGAGCATAAATAGAAACATTTATATGAAACAATTATCTCCTAGGAGGATTTGGATTTTCAGAATGCAAAACCAAAAATGACCTTACTGGGAAGAGAAAAGAGAAGGCGAGGAGAGAGAAGCATGCTCTCAGAGCAATGAAAGCCGGTGTGGGAAGGAAGGAGGGAAGGAAGGAGGCAGGGAAAAAACCCAAGGTGAAATGCCTCCATTTCAGATGGGCTAACCAGGCACAGATGGAGCTGGAACCTCGAGGCGTGACCTGAGGGAGAGGCGCCCTCAGATGGTGAGGAGGGGGCACTTCCCTGGTGGTCCAGTGGTTAGGACTTCACCTTCCAATGCAGAGGGTGAGGGTTCCATCCCTGGTCAGGGAGCTCAGATCCCACATGCCTCAAACCAAAACATAAAACAGAAGCAATACTGTAAAAACAAGGTGAGGAGGGACATGGGGAAGTCAGCGGTGGAGGCTTGGATGGTCAGCACCTACATTGACGTCACTGCTGCACACTCCATAAAAAAGGCATCTTCCATGGCTTATACATAACAGGCACTCAAACATTTGTTGAAAAGTAAATGTATCATAAATGATATATAATGAATGAAGGGTATACTGAGTAACACATAACGGGAAAAATTATTTGATGTGGACAACTTGGTTTCACAGAAGTAAATCACAGAAAATAGAGAAAAATAGAAACAAAGAAGTACCCTACCCATTCAAATAGCAGGTATATAGCACAAGGCAAAAAAGCCAAATGTGTGCAACAGTCCACACCACGTTCCCAATGGATAAAAGTACCTGGAAATTTGTAAAAACTGTGACACAACTGAATTCTGAGACTCAGTGAAAGGAAATGTACCAAAAACAAAAACACCCAGCCAAAAGCACTGAATCATGTGGCTACAAAGACCAGTGGAAGGACAACCTGGTGAGAACTGTGAGAGGGTAGCCTGTCACACAGTTTTGAGAGACTGCGAAAGCACAATGGACTCTCTCTTTTGTAAACAGTGGTTATTATTAGAGCTGTCACTTTCAGACTGTTTAGCCAGAACAGAGAGACTGAGCTGAAAATATTAACTGCGTGGGATCTAACACTGGGCTAAGTTGTCTTTGCAGAACTACGCCCAGTACTTCAAAGGGACTGAGTTTTACCATTCAAGTCTGAAAGGTAAAAAGCAAACAATTCTTCATTCTAGAAACCTAGGAGCAGTCTGAAGGGGCAGGTTGCGGATGGTAAAGGTCCTGAATTCCTGTGGCTTCTGTCAGGAGTATCTGAGGAGTTAAGAGTCTTCAACATCCTGGGACTAGAGTCTAAAAAGATGATCCTTGTCAAGAGGTGCTATTTCACCAGGTAGGAAACAGAATGAAGAATGTGACAAAAAAAAGAGACCACAGAACAGAGTGATCTATGAGGCAAGAAGCAACGTCTCCGGGACCTCCTTGGTGGTGCAGCGGTTAAGAATCTGCCTGCCAGGGCTTCCCTGGTGGCACAGTGGTTGAGAATCTGCCTGTTAATGCAGGGGACACGGGTTCGAGCCCTGGTCTGGGAGGATCCCACATGCCGTGGAGCAACTAGGCCCGTGAGCCACAACTACTGAGCCTGCGCGTCTGGAGCCTGTGCTCCGCAACAAGAGAGGCTGCGATAGTGAGAGGCCCGCACACTGCGATGAAGAGTGGCCCCCGCCTGCCACAACTAGAGAAAGCCCTCGCACAGAAACGAAGACCCAACGCAGCAAAAATAAATAAATAAATAAACTCCTACCATCACTTATAAAAAAAAAAAAAAGAATCTGCCTGCCAAGGCAGGGGACACAGGTTCAAGCCCTGGTCCAGGAAGATCCCACATGCTGCGGAGCAACTAAGCCTGTGACCCACAACTACTGAGCCTGTGCTCTAGAGCTTGCGAGCCACAGCTACTGAGCCTGCGCAACACAACTACTGAAGCCCATGCGCCTAGAGCCCGTGCTCTGCAACAAAGAGAAGCCACTGCAGTGAGAAGCCTGTGCACCGCAACAAAGAGTAGCCACCGCTCGCCTCAACTAGAGAAAGCCCGCGTGCAGCAATGAGGACCCAAAGCAGCCAAAAAAAAAAAGAAGCAACGTCTCACACCAGTTCACGCTGCTCCAGATGTCAGGGATCCTTGGCTGTCTGTTTGTATTTTAGTTTATTTTTAATTTACTTTTATTATTTTTTTAGCTCTTTTTTAAACTGAATTATAGTTGATGCCTGTTTGTATTTTAAATTGAGGCAACAAAAAGATACTTGGGAACTCTATGAATGAGGGTATTTATGAATCAGAAGGGCATTTGAGTGAGATGTTGGCTATAAGTCCAGGGCACCCCCAAATGCCAAAATTTGCAAGTCTTTACCTAGGGCTATTTGGTTTTTTGAGGCAATTCCTTTGTTTTTGCCCTAGGTAGAAGGTATTTTACTGCTGGGTGTTCTTTGTACAGGGTTAGAGGAAGGAGGTGGTAGGATTAGTTGTCTTCTGTATTTAGAATTTTTAGCTGGTATCTCAGGATTTTGACCTTTTTTTTTTTTTTTTTTAAACCCTTAAAGTTTCTATGAAGAAACTTTTACTCATCAATTGTCTAGTTATCCTGAGGGATAACCCATTTAGTAAAGGCAGAATCAATCCTTGATTCTTTTATTTACTGGTTTTCAGAATAATGAATCAGGTCCCTAACATTCCTCAAAGGGGACCAATGAGTAGGGAATTTTCCCGAGTATCAGACCAGCCCTAACAAAGCTTAAGACCAACCCCTTAACATGGGAAGGTGATCCAATGGCATTTTATCTGTCTGCCAGAAGGAAACTTAATCCTCTTTCAAGAATGTAACATCATATAAAGCCTCTATAATTTTTAATCTATAATAACTGACACAATTAAATATCAGAAATCATGTTTTAAAAAAAAGGCTAAACAACAAGAAACCAGGAGAAACATATACAATTGAAACAAACCCACAGGCAATTTAGATATTATCAAGAACCAGCTTAAAACAAACAAACAAACCATGATTAGTATATGTAAGAAAACAAAGAGATAGAGAATTCACTAGAAATCAAATGAAAACTGAAATTAAGAGTTCAACAGACAAGAGAGTACACTGGCAGATAGCAGGTAACAAAACAGAGGATTACAGAACTGAAAGGTGTGTTAAGTAATATCTGAAAAGTATTCAGATTGAAACACAGCAAGGAAAAAAATAGGACAGGGAATAAAGAAAAGAGCATAAGAAGCAAGTGCAACAAGGTGGAAAGTGTAATGTGTATATTCTCAAAATCCCAGGAGAGGAGAAAAGGAATAGAAGAAATAATTTAAGAAATTTTGGCCTAGATTTTCCCACAACTGACAAAAGTCTATAAACCATAGATTCAGAAAGCTTGAAGAACCTAAGTAATGTCAATGCAAAGAAAACCACACATGGGTATAACATAACCTAACTGCTGAAAACCAAAAAAAGAAATGTTAAAAGCAGCAAGAGGAAAAAGATGTATCACTTTCAAAGCAAAATAAAATCGCAGGCTGACTTTTCGACTTCAGAAGTGGAAGACGGCAGACAGAAGGACATTTTTTTTTTTTTTTTTTTTTTTTT